TACATAATATATAATTCTTCTGTGATTGTGTATGTCACTGAACTTCTCTCAAACGACTGGACCGATTTTGATGAAATTTTTTGTGTGTGTTCAAGGGGATCTGGGAATTTGGTTTAGATTCACAAATCAGACCGGCAGATGGTGCTGCAGTCGGTGTCTAGGTTATTTATCCTAAACGGCTGAACTAATTTGAATGAATTTTTGTTTATACATTCAAGTGGATATGCAGGACAACGTCTGTCGGGTCCTCTAGTATACTATATAAAAATAAGTGGGTTTTCCTTCCTACCGCTATAACTCCAGAATGCAAGAACCGATGTCCACGGTTTTGCATTCGTTGGAAAGGTCTCGGGCTCCATGAGGTTTATAGCAAAGAAAATTCACTTTCAATTACTAAACAAAATGTTACATAAAACGAAACCATTTGGTGGCGAAACGGAGTTCGCCGGGTTTGCTAGTTTAGTATACCTCTACCTCTATATAAACTCTGTATTCTATACATCTATTGACTGTTACCACATCAATTGAAGAAACTTTCCTCAGATTGTTGATATTCATAGATTTCCATTGTAAAACAATAATAACAAAAAACACAAACAAACAACAAGTCACTTAAAGAAAATGGAACAAAATTTTCACCGCACAGCTCTCAATAAACGAAAAGATTAAACGTTTACGAAATGAACGAAAAATCTCGCGGGCGACCTGTTGCACGAACGAAAAAAATAAGAACGGTGAACGAATGCATTGCCAACATTAATCATTCACTCGGCGTTTGTACGAAAACGACACAAAAGTTCGTATTTGCCGGTCGAAGTGAAGTTATCTCACATTGTTGCCTGCACAGTTTCGAAATAAAACCCGCAAAGTGAATTTATTTATCTTGTTTTATATTTTTTACAGGTTTCATCTGGCGTTTTAAAGGGAAATATTTCTCTTTCACGTTTGGTGTCGAGGTGCGAAGATAAAACGCAGTCACTTTTCATTTTTTGCGAGTGAATTTAAAAGGTGGCGAGTATTGAAGTCACTTTTCCCAAGTTTTATTGGACATATCTATGATTCCAGTATTTGAATTATACAACTGTAATGAATTGCAATATATCACGATTCCAACTTTACTTTAGGTCATAGAAAACCGACGTGAAACAACGCTTGCGTTGTGTTTCATCGTGTGAGTGAGGTTATCGGAGGCCCAATATACCCTGCAAATCCCCGTCTCTCCAATCCCTAAATCCTCCACAATCCTTAAATTCCTAATTCCCAAAAGGCTGGCAACGTACTTGTAATGCCTTGGTGTTCCAGGTGTCCATGGGCGACGCCGACTGCTTACCATCAGGTGATCCGTCTGCTCGTTTACCGGCTTATTCTATAAAAAAGCAAGGGTGGCAAGAAAAGAAATATTTTGCTATCTGTTTATATTTTTAAGTTCTGTTAATAGCAATTGTAACTAGACAAGAACAAGCGGAAAAGTTAAGCAAAATCTCAGATCGATTGAGTCAGACATTATAACATTAGATCTCTAAATGTTATGTAACAAGGAAAAATTGCAACGAATTCACACGGGATGTTTTACCTGCAACATCGAGCTGTGTATGACCTATTGATTTTCCTTATATTTGTTTAAACCTATCTTCCCTAAAGCTGACAATGAAACATAGCATCACGCCTTTTATCCCCGAAGGGATAGGCACAGGTGCACATTACAACACTTATCTAATTCCACTGTATACAATGTAACACTCACTTTTTACAGTTTACGTTATGAGTCCTATGTAATTAGGGGTGAGTCTATTGCCATATACCAGGCACAATTCAAGACTCCGTGCTATTAATGAGAATTTAAAAAAAAACCGCTAATACTTTGCGCGGCTCGGAAATCGAACCCGAGGCCCCTTGCCCAGCAGTCGCATTTGAGACCACTCGATCAAGGAAACAGACCGGCCAGCGGTATCTATCAACTCCGTCTTATGCATATTTTTATACTTCGTATGGACCATACCACGTGGCCAACAAGGCAGGCAATGAAACAATTCTTAAATAATAATTTTGTTAGATAACTAACGTTCATGCGGTTTATGTCAGTTGTTCAGTCTGGTCATGATTAAGGACTCCCGTTGATGCCGAAAGTAGTCGGATATCCTTGGGATATATAGACCTGAGTATTGAAATGAGTGCCTAATGCTGGAATACTGAAACGTCACTCAATTTTAAGTCGTGCTTAAATATCGTGCCATCTCTGTCATTTTACAAAGAATTAGTGGTGACAGAACTATACTTAAGCGCGACTTAAAATTGAGTAGCGTTTGAGTATTCCGACATCAGTCGTCTAAAGCGCAGACTGATCATCTGATAGTTCCGATCAAGGGTTGAGAATTTACAAGGACGCGTTGGCGGCATCATCTGATTTCTCATGATAGTAAAAAAATATTAGGTATATTTATTTCAATATTTTTTTTACATTTATACCACAAACTAGATAAAGGTTTTAATTTATAGTCGTAGAATTGAATACAATGATATTCTTTTTAATACAATACAGATTTTATTTAATTGAAATTAAGATTTATTCTGCACGTGGTACGACGCTATCTTATCATTGATAGATAAGCTTTGGATTTTTGAATGGACAAGACATTTGGTGATTATCATTATTTTTAACAGATAATAAACGAGAGATTGATCAGATTAGATATTATATTTGATGGTTTGATCACATATAATTGCTTGGCAACAGAATAAGGTTGCTAATGACGTCAAAAGAAATCTGAATATAGTGGACAAAAAAGTCAATTTGATAGTCATCATTATCAACAGCTCATGGAAGTTCACTGTTCAATTAAGCGCTTCCTTTTCATAAAATGGTTTTGTCATAACTTGCACGATTGGCTGATAGATTGGACACTACAGTTTAAAACAATAATATCCTAAAAAATTATGTCCTCAACAATACTACAAATTAATCAAGCCCAAAGGCAAAGCAATTAATAAACCGTTGAGGAGTTCTCTGTCGGCTTCATCATCAGGTCGACTCCAGATCCTTAGCAAATTGTTTAAGAATCCTAATTGAAAAACATAATAGACGCATTACTCGCCCATAGAATTCTCGAAAGTTCCCCTTAGTTTCCCTAGGATTCCATCATTGGATCCTGACCTCATGAAAATGGGACCATGTCAGGAGTATACCTTTTCAAACAAAACAAGAATTTTGGAAATCCGTTTACAAATGGCGGAGTCATCGGTGAACAAACAAAAAAAATAATCAGCCGAACATAGTACCTCCTCCTTTTTTTTTGAAGTCGGTAAACTGACCAGGTTCATCAGAATAAGAATAAGAATAAGAATTTTATTTGCTCAAACATGTGTGTGCATACAGAATTAAAATAATACAGCATGCAAGATCTTAGACAAAAGTGGCTTACGACATGTCCGCCATTTATCATGGCGTGCAAATATCTATTATATAAAAAAAATTTTTTGATGACTGTGAATTATTACATTAATTTTAAAATTTACACTCATACCTACATTAAATATCTGCAGTATCATTATACATTTTTAATTAATTTGTTCATATTCAATTAATATTTACTAAAAATAATTTAATTATTATTATTCAGAAAAGGATACTGTTTAATGTTTAGTCTCCATCCTTTAATCGGGGCTTTTTTTTAAGGGGGGAAAATCATCGAATGACTGCTCCCGTCTGGGTGAGGCGGGAGGGAATGTCAGAGTCTTACTGCCCCGGTTACCCGTTAGGACAAGAAAGTGTGGCCCATGTTAATCGGGGCTTACGATAGCAATGAATAATACTCATAAAAAATACTCATACATAGAACGCCGTGGTTCTTGACTGACATGAAACTTCAGATAAACCAACAATAGCCTGAAACGGGACGAGACAAGAGACTGAACGTTGCACAGTATCGTTTGACAGCACAGGAGACACACAACCTTAGCACAATACACGCACACATTGACACCATCCTTGTATTGATACAGACTCTCACAGAAACACAGCAACAAGTGGTACAGGGGTGCGAGGGATGATCAATTGCAGCTCAGAGGTTTGATTGGGTGATTTGAAATGTGTCTGAGGTATTTTCTTGGATTTTTTCAGATGTTTTTTGTGTTCATGCTTAAAAAATTCTATTAATTTTTTTATTTATTTTATTATTACCGTGAGAATAAAATTTAATTACTCATAATTTACTCGCGCGTGTTTTTAAACGGTTAACATTGAAAATGAAAAATTAATCGCGACAAAACAATTAATCGCAACAAAGTGTGTTGGAAAATAATTTCGCTTCGACCTCGCCTGTCTTTTGACTGTCATTGATAATTGTCTCGTAGTTTTTTTCTTTCAACTCTAATTGCCATTTACACGGCCGTCATTGCGTGCGAAATCTTTTAGACAGTGTATTTTGTGAAGATTTTTAAATAAAATATTATATTTTTGTACAATATAAATGATGTCATGTTTCATCGGAAGTGCCGAAACGTTTTTCGTGTTTCTTGAAAAACTAAAATATATGGCAGATTAACGTGGGAAATAAATTACTAATAGTTATGTCATACATAAGTGACATATCGTGTTAACATCAAAACATTTTTAATAATTGTCAAACATGGGTTATATTTATGAACTGAGTGTACTATAAATATATTTTTTTACGTTCATCTATATATTTAGGGAAAATTGTTTGTTAAAATTATTATTTTCTGTATGTTCCTAGTACTACAACTTTGCTTGCCTCCGTTATTTTTGAAATAGATGAGCATGGTGTCGCGTATGGTAATTGGTATGCACACAAATTATTTTACAGACAATGTTACCGGCCCAGTAAGACTCCACTATAACTAATAATACTTTGTATTAAAAATACCACCTCATATCTCTTTTCTTCGTAGATCTACTTATAGCAATATTATTTTCTTAGGAAACTAAATTTTCATTTAATCGAAGTTTCATCGCACAGTCTTTCTGCAGCGTTAAAGAAAGACAAACGTTGCAGTCTATCAACAAATAAAGTCATCCAAAATGGAAGAAGAACCTTTGTTAATTAATAAAACTATAAAAAAGATTGAAATATGGTTGCGAACCACAGGAACAAATGTAAAATCTACTCCGAAAACGCGGATGGATACTATAAAAAGCCGTGCAATATACATTATAAACTTTTTCTGGTTGAACATGGACCTGGGCGGGGCAGTGGTCTGGTTCATTTCTGGGATCGCCAACAAAAAGAGCTTCACTGAACTGACATACGTATCACCCTGCATAACATTGAGTTTCCTTGCGAACTTCAAATGTTTCTTTCTATTTCTTAACGAAGATACTGTCGACAAACTCCTAGAAACGTTGAGAGAATTAGAGATGAATGAAAGATCTCGTCCTAGGCATAAGGATAAGGATGCCATTATGGTGCATGAGCACAAGTTTCTCACAAACCTCATCTCTTTTCTGAATGTTTTCTTCTGCGGGTTGATTGTAGCTTTTGCTATAGGTCCCGTAACATTGACGATCTTCATATACGTTACTACTAATGAGGTTGATCTGCAACTACCATTTCTCATCATTTATCCCTTCGACGCTTTTCAACTGAAAATTTGGCCTTGGGTGTATCTTCACCAAATTTGGTCCGGTAAGCATTAAAAAAATTAAAAGCAAGTGTGATAAAAGATGAAGTTCCAAATTATCCTGTTTCTGTTATTTCTCCATTACTTCTACTTCTACTTAATTTATCAACGCTACGCATAATACTAAATAGATTACCAGTTACGTTTCAGAATATTATTTCCGTTCATTTTTTTCTACTTTTACTCGCTTTACAGAAGTAGTAGTTATAGTGGGTCTCGGTGCAGCAGACTATCTCTTCTACATATTCTGCTCAAACATAAGCGTGCAGTTCCAACTTTTGAAATATAATATCGAAAATTTAATTCCTGATGATGAGACTTGTGGACATTTAGTCAACGTTGAAGAAGTAAGAGCTGAATTTGTCGATTTGACCAAATGGCATCAGGACTTAATAAGGTACAATATTCAAGAAAGATTTTTTCATATACAGTACGATAAGGCAACTCGAAATCTAGTAGTGTATATTACCGATAAAGGTAATGAACTTTCATTGCACTGACACTTGTCAGTGCTAATTTCTATGAAATAACATTGCAAAACAATAATGATGAAATAGGTATAATACAAATAAATATGAAAGTATTTACATTGCAGCTCAGTGAAGCTTCTGGAGACGATATACACGAGATCGACACTGTTGAACTTTGTTTCCAGCTCCGCACTCATTTGTTTGACAGGATTCAATGTTTTGGTAACTAGAAAAAATATTGTCAATTTTAGGACGCATGCTAAATAGAAACATTAAATAGTAAAGCGATTGTATGTACATCCTGTGCAACATAGTTTAACATAATATCATAATCGAATAGGTACTACAATTTCCTTTCTTTTCAGGCTGGCAGTGACTTTGTGTATGTGATGACATTTGTGAGTTTCCTATTTTTGAGTTCACTGCAGATATTCTTTCTGTGTTTCTTTGGGGATCTTTTGTTGACTTCGGTAAATATTTTGGTACCAATTTGTGAATAAACTATCTTGTTGTGATTCCAAATATAATACAGTCCAAGAAGTTTGCTGGCGTGACTGTTTGACGCTTTAACTATGATTTTACTTTTCCAGAGCGTGAAAGTAAGTGACGCTGTATATAACTGTCGTTGGTACTTAGCCGGCACATCTCTTGGAAAGGACTTACTTTTGGTGCAAACAAGGTACATATAAAGTAATTTTCGTGCACATGCGCAGACATTGGAATAGAAACTGTGTTCACAATAGTATAAAAATTCTTATTATCCAAACTAATATTATAAATGCGAAAGTAACTCTGTCTGTCTGTCTGTCTGTCTGTCTGTCTTTGCTTCACGCCTAAACTACTGAACCGATTTGTGTGAAATTTGGTACAGACATAGTTTGGAACTTGAGGAAGGACATAGGGTAGTTTTTATTACAAAAAATAAAATAAAAAAAAATTTATTGCGTACATACAGCGCCATCTATTGGTATAGAGTCGACATCAATTCAGTACTGAAAATTCAACGGAAAAATGTAATTATAGAGTAAAAAGGTATGAAAAATATAATATAATACAACTTTAAGTACAAATAAAATACTCTAACGGAGTATAGATAATTCTATTATCGAGTTGGTGATCGCGCAATGGTGTCGATCGTTACACGAGTTCGGTTCATGTTATTGTTTTAAATCATCGGAAAAAAGTAAACAAATAGTAAAAAGGTATGAAAAAATAATATAATATAATAAAACTTTTAGTACAAAGAAAATGCCCGAACGGAGTATAGATGAATAATCCGAGTTGTCACTATGCTCGATAGATGGCGTTAAGATCAAATTGATCGCGCTATGGTTTCGTTACACGCATTTGGTTGGGTATCGGCCGAATGCTTCGGTACTGTCGTGGAATTGAGGATAGATCGTTTCGTAAATCTAAAATTGGTTCCGTCGTAATAGTAGATTAAAAGGTTTATTTGTTGGGTTGTCTGGTTGTTGTAAAATGTATGTTTAGTTTGATGTTGATTATTAGTAGATACTAAAATTGTATGTCTAAATTCATTTTAATTTTTAAATTAATTAGATCGTTCTTTTATATAGTTTTAAGTTAATTATAGATTTAAGCTTGGTTGTTAAGGGATTAGGTAATTTGTCAAGGGAGACAGTCTTTTTTTCTGAAATGGCAAATCAAAATAATATTTTGAAAATAAGGGAATAACAACATTTTCGCCTTTTTCGAACGGCAATAACGGCTTTAATGCCCTAAGTGAGTATATATATCTTCAATTCAAACGCAGAGCTCATTATGTTGATTTTTGAAGAGTTCCCTAGAATATCTTCCACATTTCATTTTTGAAGAGATCCGGAACTATGTGGGTAAAACCAAAAATCTGCCGGAAGTCAATATTCCACGCGAACGTAGTCGCGGGCAAAAGCTAGTAACAATATAAGCACAAACTTTTAATTGTTTTCAGATCACAAACTCCTTGCAAACTGACAGCTTGGGATTTTTCTGAAGTTAATCTTAAGTCTTTTATGACGGTAAGTACATAATTTTCTTTTCCCCATAGATATCTATTGGTCTAATATTGTAAGTTATATTTTATTATTTTTTGCAGATCCTGAGTACTGCTTGGTCTTACTTCGCTTTGTTGCAAACTTTGTATGGTTCGCCTCCTTAAGTTAGAATCGATAATATTAAGGGTTCCAGAGCAAATAATTGTTCTGAACAATGTAATACGTGTACCCACACTGTAGCTTTAGAAAAGTGCACAGTTTAATCACAAAGTTGCTTGTCTTTAAACCAATAAAACGTTAAAAACATTTCCGTTGGTTTTATTATGATAAATTTGAAACTCATATAAAACCCCATCTATATTTTACATTTTTAATTTCACTGCAAACCAATATTTATCTAATACCGACAAACAAGATCCCGCAAAAAGTCCTCGACCGAAATTGATCGTCCCCACAAGAAGTACATCCCGTACAAAACTGGCAGTTTTGCAAGGCCCCGTCCCGCGCGGGATTTCGTTCGTTCTCCGAATGACTAATGGATCTAGCTCTGTTCCAAATTCACTGGATTTTTTACCACAGCTTTATAGGTCCGTTACACATCGCCATCCAGTTGAGATAACGTTTGTATTAATGTTTTTTCGTTTTATGACTTCGTTGAGAGTTTTACGTGAAAATATTTATGTTAGAATCCTAGTACGAGCGGTGGAAATGTGGTGTACGGGGACGGTCAAATAGAATACATTTGTTACCATAAAGTAAATATGTTTTATTTTTCCCGCGCCTAACATAAAGAGACACATTGATAAAATTTAAATTTTGCTAACTTACACTACATACATTATTTTACATTTGGACTACTTCGTTGGCCGATTTGTCGCAAGTGCTACTACAGGGAAAGGGGTTTCGGGTTCGAGTCCCGGGTCGGGCAAAGTATTACTGGGTTTTTTTAATCTCAGTCGTAGCATGGAATCTGAAATTGTGCCCAGTATATGGCAATAGCCTCATCCCCTGTTACATGGGACTCATAACATAAATAGTGAAAAGCGGTTGTTACATTGTACAGTTGCTTTAAGTGCCGTAATGTGCACCTCTGCATATCCCTTTGGGGATACAAGGCGTGATGTTATGTTATGTCTCCGATTAAAGCAGGCCAAACAACAGAAATCCCTATGTCCTTTTCCGTTCTCCTAACTAAATGCATGACTTCAGCAATATATGTTTTGAAATTAAAACGTAAAGAGCTTACCATGAAACATACTTTAAGATACATAATATTAGTCGAGATTTCTATGTATAGAATCTACCTCTGATTGTTACCTGACCACAAACCCTTGACAGTAACTCCAAACCGGACTAGTCTGTGAGTCATTTGTCATACCCACGAACGGAAGCACCCAGCTTCCATACATATTTATGAATGCGTAAAGTGAAGCAGATCAGTATCAGACCATCAGTTGACGAGTGAATCACCCTTTACCATGTAGATATTGAGATAAGCCAGCCTAGTGAGTACTGCTCAGTAGCAGCGCGACAGCCGCTGCGTCACGGGTCGCGGAATGCTGCTCATGAATGCTCTAGGATGGCTGGAAACTAATCGAGTTCTTCGTCAAACAATTACGGCAGTAAGCCGAAAACATAACAATGAATTCGTATGTCTAACGAAAAATTTTATAAACGAATGTAATATCCGCTTTAAACCAGCTATGTTATACAAGTTCCATACAATACAGTGTGAGCATACGCCACGTACAATGTCAGACTCCATGCTGTTACAAACAGCCCAATCTTTGTCAGTTTAACCCGATCGGGTTGAAATTCGGCCTGCAGGTAGATGTTAACAATGGGCTACAACATGGGGTTCTTCAAGAGGGGAGTGAATAGGTTTCTTAAGGGTCGGCAAGACGCATGTAATGCCCCAAGTGTTGCAGGCGTACATAGGCCACGGTAACCGCTTAACATCAGGTGGGCCGTGTGCTTTTTTGCCACTGTCGTAGTACAAATAAAAATGTTATGACGTAGCGACCCCTAAAAAAAGACTTTTGCGATTACACAACCAACATGCCATGCATACAATTTAAAGGACATGTAGGCTTAAGCCACGTAAAAACAGTACACGGATCCCGTAATTGTACAACGAGAATAAACAGAATATCAAGTAACAATATACTCAATTAATATCTACTCATGAAGGTATACCTGTAGCCAAAAATTATTAAGATAATTGCAGCCGTATCATTATAATGCTGCATAATTAAAAAGTCATATGACAGCCAGTCAGGGGATAATTATTAGGTGGTGGTGTAATTTTGTTATAAGAATTTCAGTACATTTCTGCGATCCGTTTGCATTTTAATGACGAACGCTATGGCCATACTGTTTAATAATTGGCCTCGGTTGATATCTACCCCCTAAACCTATATAGATAGGTAGGTATAGTGCGAGAGGTTGGCAAAAAAGGTTTTATGGTTTTATTTTAAAGTAGGTATTTTATGGATGGCCTCGTTAGTTAAACAATCACAAGAACGACTCTTGTGTAAAGGGTCTTTTTTTTAAGGGGGGAAAATCATCGAATGACTGCTCCCGACTGGGTGAGGCGGGAGGGAGTGTCAGACTCATACTGACTAAAAACCACCCCGTTCCTTCTCCTGCACGTCGAGCAGGAGCCCCGGTTACCCGTTAGGTTCTCCGCGACTTGTAAAAGGTCTAGATTTCTATTGCAGTGTTGTCATCTTTAAATTCTTGTCTTTAATTGTCTACGGGTGTATTGCAATTGTCAGTAGCTCATCTACTACATGGGCACCATAAGAGGTGACAAGAAGGTGATACTACTTGCTCCTCTTTTAGGTCTTAAAAATTAAAGGCAGTCTAGTGCCTAGTTGTTTAAGAAATAAACAGCATTTTATTTTTAACTCAATTTTAAGATCTTTATTGGAAAAACCAGATTAAGTAATAGTGAATCTGGATTTTCATTATAATAATAGGTTAGTCCCCTTTTACGTGGGACAAAACAAATAACATTACTGTATACAGGAAAATTATTAAACATATACTAATAATTAAAATTATGCAGCTGATGCCAATAACAAATAACAATATTAGAATCCCAATCACAAAAGGCTTATAATAAAAAAAATAACTGCAAAGGATTGTTTACTTTCAATTATAAACAGGAATGAAATCACAACAATTTTGTTGGGGACAGATGTAGTCGCACATCACACTACTCTCTCTAGTCAAATTCCCTACTCGACTATCATCTTTAACACTTTGAAATAAGGTTGCATATGTAGTGAATAATGTTGACAGTTTAGTATAACTTCATGTGTCTGTTTATGTAGTTATTCAATTGTTTGATGATGTAAGACTGACATCATCGCTGAGTGCAAGCCGAGTACGTTATGACTTGATACGTTTTATTCGATTACGCATAGTTGAGCAAAATTGGGAAGCAGATATCAGTAGGTATGTACCTAAACTATTCTGAATTATAAGAAAGTGTAGGTAAAGGAATTGAGTCCGAATTAAGAGCGTAGGCATGATGTGTGTACACATAACATCACCACCTTTTGTCCCCAAAGGAGAAAGCAGAGGTGCCCATTACGGCACTTAATGCCGCCGAACAATATAACATCTACTTTTCACTATTTATGTTACGAGTCCCATGTAATAGGGAGTGAGTCTATTGCCATATACCGGGCACGATTTTAGACTCCGTCCTACTACTAGGAATTTTTCAAAAAAATTGAGTAATTCTTTGTCTGACCTGGTAATCGAACCCGACACCCTTTAGTAGTCGCACCTGCGACCACTAGGCCAACGACGCCAGTCGTCAGTAATCAAAGTTAAAGAAAGTAAATAAATAAATCCACAGTTTAATATTAAAGGTAAAATATAAGTAAGGTGACAAGTAGGAATATGGAACTGTGACGAAATATGCATAACGTATGTGAATAACGATTTGAAAGAAAAGGTGGTTTGTGATGAGATGACAGCTTTTAATGGTGATTAGAATAGAAAAGAACATACGCAACCTGGGATAACCTGGGATAAAAATAACATAAGCACCGTAAATAGGAAAGGAAGAAGATGAAGAAGATAATGTGAGACCTGCCTGTAACATAGTTAGCAACGAGAGCAATGTAAATAAAAATCGACCTTAGGCTAGAACAAATTTCCGTGCGTTTAGGTGTTTTTGCTATACCTATTATTGGAAGCAAGTAAAACAGCTCACACATAGGACCCATTTAGTTTTTAGTAAAATTTCCGTCGGTATTGGCGACTGGGCTTTTCCCAGATGTACAGTCTCTTTTTGTACCTTCTAAGTTCAATCTATTTTGGATCCTCCAGTAATTCACCGAGGGAAGTGGAAACTATCGTGTTTTCTTCAGTGTTCCGGTGTTTTCATGGTTGTATCGTCTAGAGATCCTGGCTAAGAGGAGTTGCAGCAGTTTTGAGAGATTGTAGTGGGCTTGTCCTATTATAAAAAAGATTCAACTTACCTTTTGACACAAGAAGAAACTCAAACTCAAACTCAAAGTCTTTATTTGCATGTTAAGGTAATACATACAGGTCGATACAGGTCTTATGAAATAACAGGCACAGCTTAACGGCCTTTTTCAGGCGTTGCAAATTTTAGGGGTATACATAATAATATTAAAAAATAAGTAAGTTGCATAAAATTTGCAACTTCGATGCAAACTTAGCTGCAAACGGTACGTTTTATAAGCGAATTACGTCTAGTCATTATAGATTTTAGTACTAATTACACAGTGGAGACGTACGGACCTATTAACGAATACATTATTAATATCGTGTCATTACAAATAACATTAATTACTGCAATATTTGTACAAGGATATTTCATCAAGGTTAAATAGAGTTAAGAAGAATTTTCGTAAAGATAAAGCTGTAAAAGAAGGAAACTGATTGACAAATCATTTACGTAGCTAATACGTATACAACTTGAGTCTTAAATGAAGTAAATAATTCTACAGAACTTTGGAAAACATCAAGGAAAACTAAAGATGCGAGTGAGAAATACTATGTATATTTTATAAAATATTTTAGTGAGTAAATAATGAAGTGGAACGGGAGGGCAACGAAATGTAAAACGTTATTGGAACTAGAAATAAATTCTCCGATTAATGAATAAACGACAACACGAGTAAGAGAGTTTATGTAGTTATTAATTTCATTTATATCTTTATTTAATGTGTCAATAAAAATTCCTTCCCGAAAAAAAAAGAGAGTTGTGCAATTAAAAGAATAATGGCTGCACCTTTTCAATGAAAATACTCGTCACAAATATAGAACAACGACAATCTCTAAAATCGCAACAGCAAAGTCCAATAATTTCCTGCAAGAAATAACAAGTTCAGTTAAGCAACCGTGCTTAAAACTAACCGCGAAGACAAAAGAAACTATAAAACTTCCCACAAAAGGAAAAAATAATGAAGCAAGCAGTAAAACGACACGTCTATGCAATACTATGGTCTAGACCGAGCTATTGTTTACCCTAAACCAATGTTATGTTTGCTACCACCACTATGACACAGACATTAAACATGGATACATTTATAACGAACTTCAGTAACTAAAACACTCTGCAAGAAGGAACATTCAGAAAAATAAATAAATTTCTTAAAGAGCTATTTCAAGTAAGATGCCCAAACCACTGTTATTTGACGGATCGCTAGACAAACTCGGCGTTCTCTTTCGATATTCGGGAATGAACCTCGAAAAAGACATCGTCGCTCCAATGGACACTATTAAACATAGATGGCTGTATACCCTAAATTATTTCTCTGTTTTATCAGCTGAAATCGCCGGCATATACTACATCATAACCGGCATAATACAAGGCAAGAGTTTCATCGAAGTTACTAGTGTCGCTCCTTGCTTGACATTTTCTTTACTCGCATTGATCAAATGCTCTTACCATCACATGTATGAGAAGAATATTAAAGAACTTATAAACCTTTTAAGAGATTTGGAAAGGAAAGAGAATGATAGGACTGAGTGTGCTGATAAACAAGAAATTATAGATGAAGAAGCAGGATTTTTAAACAAAGTGATTAATGTACTGTATGTGCTAAACTGTTGCATGATAGTCGTGTTCGATATGACGCCGATGGTGTTGATAGCGGTGAAGTATTACAAGACGAAGCAGTTTGAAATGTTGCTGCCTTATTTAGATGTGTTTTCATTCATACCTTACGAGTTGGTGTATTGGCCATTTGCATACGTTCATCAGATTTGGTCGGGTTAGTATGAACACAATCTTTTTAAAACACCGTCAAAATAAGGGATGAAGGGAAGGGATGTTTATAGATCGAGAATTAATTTATTTATCAACATTTCTATTCTGATTAAACTTATTTTTACTCCTAAATGCAGATTCGATGAAAAAAATTCCGGGTTTGTTTTCTCTTTACAGAATGCATGGTGCTTTTATCAATGGCGGCCGCTGACTACCTATTCTTCACATGTTGTACTTACATTAGAATACAGTTCAGACTCCTGCAATATGACTTCGAGAGGATCATTCCAGACAGAAGTATTTCTAAAGAAGAGAGGTTTGATGAAGCTGAGTTTCGGGATAAGTTCAGAGAGTTGGTGCAATGGCATCAAGACTTAATACGGTAAGACATGTTCAGTTGTCAAATGCTATTGGGTAAATTTTCAAGGAATACGTGGAATTGCTATGAGTATACTCGTTTATTGCCAGATATATTCCTAGTATCCTTTGGTCAAGCTTATTGCTACACATTGAACGTAATGAAACGGGTATTAGAAATTATCGCTTCATCAACATTCTGTTTTAAATTGCTAATGTTATTGGAAAGTCTTCTGTTTTATCCACATTAGTTTTTATTTCCAGATCAGCTATAATCTTAGATATAATCTATTCCAAATCAACGCTGTTCAACTTCTTGTCTAGTTCATTGGTTATCTGCCTCACCGGATTTAATGTTACGGTAAATTTATTGCCTACATCATCATCAATCTGGACATTTTATTTAGCTATTGATTATCATTTAAAGATTCTTATTACATAAATTTCTTAGCATCTTTTTAATCATGAGTCTATATGAATCAGCGATGGCTGTCTGTCGCTTTACACATCTAAGGTGTGACGGCATATTGTTCGTCAGAATCATTAATTTGTGAAATTTCATTAAAACAATGTCAAATGATTGCATCTTATTGCACTACATTTCATTATTTTCCTCTTTCAGATTGTGGACGATATTGTAATAATTGTCACGTTTCTTACCTTCCTATCGATGGCTCTGATGCAAGTCTTCTTTTTATGCTTCTTCGCGGATCTCATGATGACAGCCGTACGTATTGACACACGCACAAACTTGCATTATTTTTAGTTTAACTTTACCATTCACGGGACCACAGGGTCCCGGTCATTTGGGAGGCGTACGAGGGGCCGAAGCCAACTGCGCAGAGGCCCTTTAGACAACTTTAATCTAAATGTAATGGATACACACACCGGCGACTATCCCTGTATGCACTATGGAAATGCACCCAAGGACAGTCCCCGGTTAGTGTAGAACTATTGTGGATAATGGAAGAAAAAAAGGTAGGGCTATGAATGGGTTGCTGTGGACCGGTAAATTGGAAACTATGGATGACTATGGCACCTGCCGAAACAATGTAATTATTACACGTAAAAATGGCAGGCGGAGACTCGCCAACTCACCGACCGGGCCCCGGGAATGGTTGCTAGATATAGTAACAGAGGGGCAACGAGAATGTGAGTGGCTGAAGGGTTAAGAAACTACCACCGCTTTCTACTCAGATCATCGGCTCCAGCCGAAGCCTCCTGCATCCCTGGCCCACTCGCGACTTACGAATAGTTTCTTACCCCCCGAGCAGGATCACTGCTCTCGCGACTCCACTCTGGACGGCCAATGAAGGCAAGCCAGAGGTGGGAGACCTGTTCCTTGTCATCGTTCACTCCAGCCAGTCAATAAAGGCAAGCCGGAGAAGAAGAGCACTCGGGATGATGATAGCCCGCGGGATCGCTAATGCCCGTCACCTCGCCTCAAGGTGCCCTGCGGGCTTAGTTTAACTATTATTAACGTCTTAATTGGGCTTCCTCTCTTTCTCCTTACTCCTCTTACAATTATGTTGCACTCGTTTAACGCTATAGCTTGGTTGATAACGATCGAAATTTAAAATTATGAATGGTAGAAAGATGATGATATTTATTTACATTTTGATCAATTATGTACTTCTAAAACTCAAAAAGTGCTGTGTGTGGCCCTTTATCATTTTGGTGAAATTATTCACTTTCATGCTACTACAACTAGTTTATTGCAGAGTTTGGAAGTAAGTAACGCTGTATACAACTGCAAGTGGTACCTGGGTAACACACAAGTTGGCAAGCAACTACTGTTGGTGCAGACCAGGTAATTAGTTACCAGCAGCAAAATACGGCTGTTTTAATCTCAGCAAACCAAACACAGATAAAGGAGGATTTTTTTACATAACGTAGTGTGATTTCACAATTATCGGCTTTCTAAGCAGATAGCCGGGATACCAATGGGATGAGTGACATAACATAACTTCACATCACGTCTTTTATCCCCGAATCTGAAGGGTAAGCGGCACTTAATGCCACTGTACAATGTAACATTCACTTGTCACTGTTAAATGTTATGAGTCCCATGTAATAGGGGATGAGCCTATTGCCAAATACCAAGCACAATTCCAGACTCCTTGCTACTACTGTGATTTAAAATAAAACTCAGTAATACTTTGCCTGACCGGGAATAGAACCCGAGATCCCTTGCTTGGCAGTCGCAGTTTCGACCACTCGTCCAACGAGGCAGTGGGATTAGTGGTATGTAAAATAATGGGGACTACTAGTTGAAGCTTTTAATTTGTTACCTCATTGTTTAATTGTTTCTTGCTATCCACATTTTTGTATGATTTTCAGAGCACAAGAACCATGCAAGCTGACAGCTGCTGGCTTCGCAGACGTGAACCTAAATGCTTTTATGAGAGTAAGCTTCTTATTTAAATTATTTGTTTGTGTGGTTAAAACATTTTTCATATCGACACTAAATCATAGTAAAGACAACCTTATTACCCATTTCAACGAACAAAGTTCTACAATTATTGCGAGTACCAACAAAATATTTCTTCAATATTAGTTTATTTCCCGCTAGATGTTGCTCGCGACTTTGTCCGTGTAGAATATAAATTTTATAACATGACATTTTGTTTCAATTTTACAAAATAAAAGTAGCCATGTTACTCCTTAGTAGGTACATCAGCTACCTGTCAAAAGTCTTTCAAAATCGGTCCAGCCATTCCAGAGATTACCCAATACAAACAGACACACCGACAAAAGTTGTTAAAATGTTATTTTGGTAGGTATGTTTTTTTTTTCGTTGCCCCTCTTTAGGATTTTCTCCTGGGTCGTGGGTGCGTTTACAAACATACAAGTTCAAATACACATGACACCCAGACCCGGAACAACAATTTGTGGATCACACAAAGTGTTGTTCCGTGTGGGAATCGAACCCGCGACACGTTGCACGGCTGCCGGTTGCCCAGCCACCGCACCAACCGTGCAGTCATGTTCGTTCAGTATGTGTAACGGATGTATATCACAATTACAAATAGTGAGTAGAGGTAGATCTAAATTTGTTTAAGACCTTTTAATGCAACCCCCATGGCTCACCCCCTATTACATGGGACTCATAACATAAATAGTGAAAAGTGGGTGTTACATTGTACAGTCGCATTAAGTGCCAAAATGTGCACCTCTGCCTACCCCTTCGGGGATAAAAAGGCGTAATGTTATGTATTAATGCAACCTCCTCGGTTCCTGTCCACAGGTGTTGAGCAGTGCCTGGTCCTACTTCGCCTTGCTGCAGACAGTGTACGGAAGATAAAGTGCCACTATCAACTGAACACTTTCCCTTATAGATAGATTACCTTACCTTAGTAGAAGTACTATCGACAAACATTCTTGTGTACTGCCTAGACTTTACTGAAATAAACGATGTTTTTTCGTATAACATTTTTTTTACAATCCTGCTATATTTATTTATGATTTAATGTACTCTATACGGCAGACAATATTGCAGAGGACAACACATTACAAGCATGAGGTATAAAGGTACTGCATATCCTTTAAGGAATTTCTTCCTACAGACCTGCGACAGGAAAAGGAATATAAATATTAGTCATAGTGTAAAGGTTTCATACACTAATTTAATTAGTGACTCATTATTTTTAGTAATATTACGAAACCAGTATAATGTAGCAATAGGCTCACCTTATAGGTAAGTTACATGATGGGATGTATAGATGTACACCTTTGCCTCACCTCTTCGAGGATTAAAAGCCATGAATATCATGGAAATATGTAGATTTTCAAAGTTTCTATGTCTTTACTCATGTTAAACACAAATGTTTAATTCAAACAGTAAATCATGAAAAGAAAATTTTCATGAAAGCCAGCATTTGAATGAAACTACCAACAAAAACTGTTAAAGGCCTCCGCTAGCGTCAGCCATCATTGTCCGACACGGCGTCCAATGGGGTAATATTATCTTGTTTTAAACGTACTTAGGCCACGGTAACCACTTACCATCAGGTGGGCCGTGTGCTTTTTTGCCACCTTCGGGGTAACAATAAAAATTCTATGTAGGTAACCAGTAAATTTTGCCGATAGTACTTTAGACTTTAGCACTAGATACATCCATTAGATGTTGTAATTTCGTTACCTTTCCAATATCCAGCTCATATTTATTAGTTCTAGACCTAGCACTAACTGGTTTGTTTTGTTTTAGTTAGTGAATAGTTTGTCAGTTTATTTCAAAACGTTGATTTTGTTATATAATTCTTGTTTCAAATATGTTTTTCATATAGGATTTTTAGTAAAATTTATAGATAATTTGGTTATGTTTTTGAATTCAGCATTTTACTGAATAAATGCGAATAAGAACGAATAGCATGATTAAAGATCTTAAGGCGTAACGGGTTACCAGGGCTCCGGCTCGAAGTGCAGGAGTAGGAACGGGGTGGTTTTTAGTCAGTAAGAGTCTGACATTCCGTCTCGCCTCACCCAAGGCGGAAGAAGTCATTGAATGATTTTCGAAAAAACGATCTCAGTTAACAAAGAGTTGCAGATTTTTTCCAGAATTTGTTTGACCAGACAACCCAAGGACTAACCAGTCCCACGGTCTTTAGAACGAGGGCAGTCACGCTACAAACTTGTATATATTTCCATAAACGTTTATGTCACGGATTATAGAAGTAAGAAGTACTATCCTAGGAGAATCAAACTGAAGAAATGTCTATCGAATTGCCAGCCAAACGGGTGGGGCCACCGTAAGCACGGGCCTGCGGGCGGCGAGCAAGGGTGACTCGCCGCCTGACCAGAACCAACTTGAAGCGTACGGCCGCGGCCCCATGTCCACGGCGCGGCGCCGGCCGCCGTGTGACGTTGCGGCACCGCCGCCGTAAAACGGCACGAGGTCGTGCAGCAGCACGGTGCCGCGGTCGGCGACGGCGTGCCGCGAGGGAGAACTCGCAAGGAAGATTGGATTGGAGAAGTCATTGGATGATTTACGCTCCTCAAATAAAAAAAAATCGAAACAGGTGGAGCTCCTGTGGCAAAGATTCTATATACCACAGAACATTAAGTACGCCTTTTTATCCCCAAAGGAGGTAGGCAGAGGTGCAGGTTACGGCGATTAATGCCACTGTACAATGTAACACCCACTTTTCACTAGAGTCCACTGTAAGGATGAGACCCTATTTTCTATACATTACTTTCTTTATAATCACCCTCTGTTACAAGGTACAGTACGGTTCACGAGTTATGGCGGGTGTGAAGTTCATGCAGAATAACTATTTTATTTATGAACCAAAACGGCGACGTGTGCGGGACAAGAATATGCTAGGGATTCACTCTAATTAAACACAATAATTTTATTGTTTAATCAATTTATTTGCTAATATACATGCGCGAAAATAACTTGCGGCTAACTTTACATCCGCAATAACTCGTGAACCGTACTGTAACCTTATACATAACTACTACCTTCTGCTTGTTCCTGAGAATTAAAAGGTACTTTCATTATTTTCATATGAAACAGTAGGTACCTACTCGTACTCCTTGTCTTCATACTCCATGGTTTACATAGAACATAGAAACCTTGTAAGAGGAGGGCAAACGGCTACATTGACGTCAATCCTGAAGCGTTCATGCGAACACTGTTTTTGTGGTACTTAGGTCAACTTACTCTAATCTGTATTTATTTCATTGCATTTTCGACTTTATAACAAAACACTAAAGTTGAAAATCTAATAAAGACAGAAAGGGATAGGTTCACATGCTGGCTACTGTACTTAATGTATACTTTTTGTTGTGAAATTCTGTAACTTTTTTTTATTTTTGACGTAGAAGTTCCGTTCTTGCGAAAACTGATAGGTACCTTTGCAAGATGTAGGTACCCTCGACTTTCAATGACAAGTTCCATATTTCAGTTAAAAAAATATCGTAAATCTTGTTCTAATAGGTTTTAAATAATATAGATGAGAGTTTTAAGTGCTTACCTATTTTAAATAAGTGTTTTTCTACTCTTATATTTTTTGGAATAAGCCGGTCAACGATCTGACGGTAAGCCATCGGCGTCGCCGCGTCGCCCATGGACACTTGGAACACTTGGTTGGTTATTTGGGGATTCAGCGGTTAAGGATATTGAAGAGAGTCAATCGGTCTCCGATAACCTCACTCATACGACGAAACACAACGCACACGTTGTTTCACGTCGGTTTTCGGTGAGGCCGTGGTATCACTCCGATCGAGCCGGCTCATCCACGCTTAAATGTTAGCAGATTGCCTTTATTGGAAAGATTAAATTAAGGACCTATAGAAAGGAAATTGCCCTGATAGACATTAATACTGAATTCCAGATAAACAGACGTTAGTTTGGATTTTGGATAGCGAAGTGTCAGTATTACGTTTCGGTATGTACCCCTAAAATGTACCTACTTTATAGTACGGTAGCTCTGCGATTAAATTATCTGATGGAAACCCACTACATTACCCATTCGGCACTCACATTCATAATCTACTTATTTTTGACCTCATATAGGCAAGTAGGTACATAATTATAGCTAGGTATGTACTATGTACTACGTTACGTAGGCACCTTTACCCTAAATAAACTAAGTGGATACCAATATAAAACAAATTGTTTTCGAAAACCTTGAGAGTCTCAGGTAAAGAAATTTCACATAGTTGCGTCCGTTTTGACTAAAAAAGGTCGACATTTCTTGGAACTGCCTTTTACTAGCCTTCACGAAGATACCTTCGCGTTCAATGTAGCTGGCTCATATATTTTCATTTGAAATTACGTTTTATTTAATTAAGATAAAGTTCTAATTTCAATGGACGATTGGTTTCAAGAATGTGTGGTAGTTCCGTTGATCATGTTTCTGATTTCTGAATGAGAGTTTTTTGGTTTGTTCAAATAGTATTTAGGTACTTAACTGCCAAAATTCAATCATTTTACCGAGTTCTAATATTAACATCACTAGCCAATAGGAATTATAGCTATGAACTAATTAGATTTTTTGTTATGAGACCTAGATACCCAGTAACTATTAGTAAATACTAATAAAACATTTACCACCCACTAACTTACCTAATGTTTTTTGAAAATGTTGAGGTTAAGAATGCTAATATTTTCTCTTTACAACATAAAAGCTACTCGTATTCGTCTTATTCTAATTAATTCTGTTTTAAATTGTTGCAAAAACTCATGCTTGACCATTTTACAAATTAGGTCAATACTAGCGCCATCTATTATCAGAATAATTTAATAAATTTACAGATAAAGCAGAGCTGGAGAAAGTGGCGCCCTCGTGCTGCTTTACCGACGCAACATTGACTATCTGTCATGGCGTGAAGAAGTGTACATTTCTGTGCACGTAAAACAAAAATAATGATTCTCAGACGATTTATTTTGCGTTTGTGCTTTAAAAACTTTTGTTTACGATATAAAGTATCATGATTAAAGTGTGCTAGTTATAGTTAGACGTAAGTGTGCGTTAAAATGGACAAGAAAAATGCCATTCGGAGAGCCAAAAGGCCGTCTAAAGTGCTCGAAGAAAATTACTGGGATTGCAGCGTTTGTACATACAGAAACAATGCGGAAGCCTTCAAATGTTCGATGTGTGATGTTAGAAAAGGTAAAACAATAATTCAATTCGCGCTACCATTGTAATCCTTTGTGTGGTTAGCAAACGTGAATGACCTGAACATTTTACATAGATATATGGCCACGTAGGTCCTAATATTTACATATCAGTGTAATTATAGTGCTTATATCGCAGTACTTTGGTTGTGGATTGGGATATATGTGCATTAAGTAGGTATAAGGTGTTCGTACAACGTCTGTAAACGAACATAACCTAAAAAGTGAGCGTTCATAGTCAAAATCTTGGTATTGATTAGCATTAAAACGAGCTTGCCTAGTCTGCTTTGTGTATCTATCCTTATAGGTATATTTAAAAGTTAGGTAAATTTTCTTATAGGAATTACCCACCTACTTTTTACACGTCGTAATCGTAACAATGAAATTAATCCCGACATGGTTTATTAACGACTTATTTAAATGACTGCAATAACCAGGCTTACAGATCTATTAAACTTTATTTTATTGACATTTTATCAATCTGTTCATAAACATGTCTAGCGTAGCACCTGATTATACAATACCAATAAAATCACTGAGATCATAAATTCTCTTAATTACACAGTAAATTACGCGCGTATTAAAACTCTTTCAAGTAAGCACAGATAATAAACAAAACAGTTATCTTGTCTTTGACTTTTAATGTAAACAAATCTGTGTGCATTCCGAGTTTTAAAAACAGTACGCTCACTGCTTGCCTATTGTAAAACCCGGCTAAATTGAGTGGTTGGGCTATAACATTGTAGCTTAAACATTGGTGAGTCTTTTCAACTTGGCAGGGTTATGTTCGTTGACCTTTGCGTGATGTTGCTACCCTATACTTGAAGGACAGATATAGGTAAGCAGTACGTTTATCTCACATGTTCTCGTTGTTTATGGTGTAAATGGACCTTTGTAGTGTCAGTGGACCTTAGAGAATGTTAACCAGATACTTTTTATTTTTATGAGAAACTTTACATGCCGATAATGTCGTAAGTAGTTCAATAAAATAGCTTATAAAACACATCGTTTGCCTAATAAATCATTAAAGTTGACATAGAACATTGTGAAATAGGTAAAAACTTCTTGGATTCTAACTAGCATGTTCGCTGTTCCCATATTCTTGGCGAAAGTCAAACTGAACTTAAAATCGATTGCGCTGTTTACCCTCCCTATTTCATTGCGGGGTATTTGTTATAAGGCAAGGGTATTAATGTTCGTTGACCTTATAAACATGCGTAACATCACTGTTCTCGGAGGGGTAGGCAGAGGCTCATAAAGTTTTAAACGCTCGATTTCCGTCTGTTAGGTACGTCATAACATAAGCCCCATTATGACGACAGCGAGCCTTTTGCCGTTCTATAATATCTGCAAAAAAGTTTAAATACATCATAGCTAATGAACGTAGGACTTCTCTGGTGAGGTCCAGATCGGCTGCCGGTTGGATGCGATCTACATCCAGCAGCTCGGCAGCTTCCTGCAATCTTTCGGTCGTCTGTCCAAGTCTAACTAGATTTTTAGCAGTGCTTAACTCGTCGAGTACCGGTTTTGTAGACACAATTATAGAACAATAGGTTGCGACCACCGGTGACCGCTTGGTGTTTGACAGTATAAATACAAAAAAAATAAGAATTTTTTTAAGCTGCTAATCTTCAGCAGCGTCATCATAGCAGTCTACCTAGTGATATGGTGATGAAAAAACTGATATCCTTGTCCAAAGGAAGCACGTCTTTCCATGACATAAATGTCTATTTAAATTGAAACTGTTGTCTATGGGTCCGAATTGTGATGACGTCATTTCCTTATAGCTAGGAGCACTGGCATAATTTAAATTTATTGTTATTACCTTGCTCTAGTTACTGGTTAAATTGGGACAAACAAACTGTAGGAATTTTCAGAAGGTTTATAATACGTATAAACAATACTAGCTTCAGTTGCGACTTTGCCCGCGATAAAAGAAGCCTGCGGTATTCCGGTATGCGGTATATCTTTATGCCAGTTTCAGAGGCACTCAATTGTTTTATAATGGGAAATAATCCCACCAAAAACATTCTGTAAAAAATTTGCCAAGTCTCGATGGAGCTGCTAGTTTATCTCTAAAAAGTAATGAAATATAACGAAGTCGTGGCAAGTCTAAGGTTCCTTATTGTGATTTCGTTATTATTATAGTTAATGTTGTGTGACTTTGCCGTTGAAGGGTACACAAGGGTACAAAACCAGGTATACCATGACACCATTGCACCAATCTGTCGCCATAACCGCTATCCATAGACGATGGAAAATTGCGACTTGGAAAACGTGGTGTTACCTTTCAACGGCCAAGTGACATATAAAATATGTGAGTGAGCTTACTAATGCTGTAGTCCAAGTCCAAATCACGTGTGTTATCAATATTAGTGAGCGAATAGTGAGAAGATAAATGGAAGAAGTGAATTTAGAACTCGGATACAGGCATACAACTTAGACAGCAATGAAGAGCTGGATTTCAAGTTGCTAGTGTATCTTTAACCCTCCTGAAAGTCAGTTGCGGAATGCAGCACTGAGGCCTTAGTACGAATTTGTTTTACTTTTAAAATAATTGAAACGAATGCGCGGTCAGCGCTCTGATTGGCCGGTTCCAAATAACCAACCAATCAGAGCGCTAAACGCGGAAACTCGTACTAAGCCAAACCTGACCACTTTGGGAGAAAACAACATTCAGGAAGTTTATATCGGAAACATCATCCAAAGTATGCCAGATAGTTAGTTATATCCTCTCAGGCGACAATCATGGCCAGGTGGGAAGGAAAAAATTCGTTTTTACTGTTTTGATACAGATAGTCTTTTTTTGTAAAACCATGTAAGTAAATAGTGTTTTCGTCAAGTTCCCTATAATTTTGTGTCAATTAAACTAAAGAAAAGTCAATTAAATTATACAACTAAAGTCGGGACCGAGTGATCACAAGTGCAACTGCCAGCCAAGGTCTCGGGGTTGATTCCCGGGTGGAGCAAGGTATTACTGAGTTTTTTAAACATTTTCAAGGAGCAGGGAATTATGCCCGGTATATGGCAATAGGCTCTCACCCCCTAATACATGTGGCTTATAACCTTTTAAATAGTGAAAAGGGGGTGTTGCATGGTATAGTGCCATTAAGTGTCGTAATATGCAACTCTGTCTACCCCCTACATGACAAAAGGCGTGATGTTCTGTTATTATGTTATGTTTGTGTCAACATCAACCTGATACAATTTTCGTAAAGTTCTTATATCTAACTATGGCCAAATTTCCGCCCCGGGCCCCGGTTGATAGGTATAATAGATACCTACCTATAGCTACGTATGTATGTACCCGAGAATAACCCGTCGTCTAACGTCGGCGGTGGCGCCACGTCGGCCCGGGGCGAAGCAATACCCCCTAATGCAGATTCGGTGTTCCTACTAAATTATACCGGGAATGGGCAGCTATCGTATATGCAATACCTATTATATTTTTAATCAGAGTTAGCTACTAGTGGAAATTGGCAACGTCCAAGTGAGATTGAAATAAAACGTTTTTCTGTGGAATTAACTAGTTAATGCTGCAGAAAATTTGCTAAACTTTATCCCAAGTTACATAAGTTAAAAATATTAAACTTAAGTCTAATCTATTTATGAAGTTGTGTTTTATAGTTACAGCAATGATAAATGATTGCGGGTGGAAAAAAATCATTTGATTGAAGAACCCTGCTTCTACATCATAGGGCACTTTCAAGGGTTCATATAGTTCAGTTCACGCTGGAATGTGCTTAATAATCACTAGGGTAGATGACTAATTATTATTTTAATGTTTATCTGGTAGATTATTTAAAAACATTAGACACGTATTTTTTATTTTCTTACAAATAATTTCGACGATATATTGATTTGAAATGTCGCGTGACGTCACTTCTAGAGACGTTTTATACGTAGAAATGACGTTTTTACTCCTACTCCTAAACTTTGATCCGTTTTATCTAAGTATTGTTTTATTATACGACAAAATAAAAAAATACGTGTCTAATTATTTTTCATTACCTAACTGACGGACTAATTAGTTTATAAATTTTCATACCCTGTCATCATCCCTTTTCTAAATTTCTACGCACATATGTCCGTAAAAACTGCAGGAACACAAAACCTTTTTATGACAATTTAAAAAGAGGCTCTTAATCACCTTTACTTATTTATGTAGTTTATAAGTGGTTTATAAATTCACATAAGCTCCGCATTGAGCAAACTCACAAAGGCAGCAAGGGTAAAACTTAAACGTGCAGTCACTAGATGACCAAAGGCACCAAAGCGGGGCATAAATAAAAAACTTAAAAGCATTTTTATTGCGATTTTTATCTTTATCCTTTAAAACTTTTATCATATAAAGATCAGTCCACTATTTCGCTGTAAGAGTTTCCCTCGACGCTAAGGTAGTATGCACTAAATCCCGATTTACGTCGCTAAGTACATAAGTACTAGTAAATCTACCCTCGGCACCGTCTTTTGTTTCTAGAACGTTCCACCCGACTGTTTCTCACAAATTCCCGGCATTTCGCGTGTTACCGTCAATTCTCGAAAGTTCGAGACTTGTTTTCGAAATTCGACGCTAATAAGTGAGAAATGCCTTGTTTAACTGTTTTAAAAATGTTGTTTTGTAATACAACAGTTCAATAGAATGTAAGTGCGTTAGTTATTCACGTCTGACTAACTGATTTTAAAAGGAATAACTGCTACTCACTTAGTTATTCTATTAAATTATAGAATTTGTTAATAATTAATATAAATATGAATCATTTTCAAAGAATTCGATTAGTTAGTTATAGTGATAAGTTTCGTAGAATAGTACGTAAAATCACTCGATTTCCTCGAGGTAACATACTACGAAATTCACGTTTTGTTGTCATTTTTTCCTTGTTCCTTTTCCCGTAAGTGATATAAAGTTCATAAAAAACATACCTAAAATCTAGCTAGGTATATAAATAATATTGAATTTCCGTTCGTTAGTCTCGCTGAAATTCGAGAACGGCTGAACCGATTTATGATTTTAGTTTTGGAATGTTCCTAAAAGTAAAAGTCTAGGCTAGTTCTTTATAAAAACCTTCTTAATTAATTACGATCGCCAGAGTATTATTATCTTGAATTTTCTACGTAATATACATTCGAGTTCCCATAGTAATTCGTCTGGCAAGGGACGCATAGAGTTCGGTTCCCGTTCTCGCCCCACGGGCTACATGCCCCGTTCATACATACCTTCACAATCTACTATAAAGCTTTGATATAGTTACTATACGACCTATTTTCAGACAGAAATAATGCTTAGAACTTCCAGAATGTTCCTTATAATGTGTACTGAGCTGGAAACTAAGTCTCGGGTATTTTGTTTTCCGATTTATAGTAGGTCGTGGTTATTTACTAAGAATATGTACGTGAATTATGTTAAGACTTAGCTAAGGCTTTCACTTAAATCAATTGTTAAAGCGGTTATTTTATAGGCACTCCTTTATCTTGGTAATGCCTCCATAAACTCTGAATAGTTTGAGAGACGTTGTGTAATACTATCTTGATAATATTACGAAGGCAAAACGCAATGAGAATTAATGGTTTGATTTTCATACAAAAACTAAAGGATCAAAATGAAACAGCTCTGATCAAGATTCTATTTAACGTTGTTAACGAAGGCACGGCATTGTTAGCAGACGCTAGTTCTTATGATGTTCTTTCACATATAGACTTTTTTAATCTCAAATAGGCTGTAGTGTAGGACTAAGATAGGCAATAACTCCTCAAGAAACTACACTAACTGTTGTCTCTTGAGAAATTCTAGAGCAACCACGCAATTAATTCGCAACCAAACCCATAATTACACTATTCCTAATACTCCTGATTTCTCTAGGTACATCGACCCGCAAGCCTCGCATCAACCCGGCGCTGGTGGCGGCCCAAGCAGCCGGTACAGCACCCACCAGCTCACAGAAACGACCGCGTTCCGCCAACTCCCTCAAAAAGAAACGTCGACCGCCCCGATTGAGCAATGTTGACAGGAGCTCCGCGCAGACCAGAGAGGTAGATATACCATACTTATTTAGATCATCAAATCACTATTCTTCCCTTCAGAGCTGTCTTACGGGTTGTGAAGACAGATGACAGTCGCTGCAAGTAAAATATCCAGTTAAATCTAGTTAAGATTCTGTGCCGACCAAAAAAACGAACACTCGACCAAGAATGCTAAACATCATTCCTCATTTTGTCCTCAGGGTATTCTCTAATCAAAAGTTTTTGATACATTGAACATTTTTTTTGTAGCACATTTGAAATTGCATACTCTTCGAGATAGACGAAGTCTTGTTGTCGATGTTACTACCTAGTTTTCGAAGCACATCTTACCTGCAACTATGCCAGCTTGAATAGACACTCCACTCTCTTAGACTGCTCTAGAAACACGAAACCTAAACAAAAAGCAACCCGTCCCGCACCAGATCTACATTTTTGTCATCTTAACTAACACGTATCTCATTAAATTGAATGTGTACGTACACAGCTCTAATGCCGTTACCACCTTTGTCGTCCAGATTAATTCCGATCTAACCAATAGAAATACAGTAAAGCTTTTGTCGTCAGGTGACAGTGAGTGGCGTAACTGTCGTTATAACTGAATACAAGCCCAAGAAATCTGTGTCGAGCAGTTCCAGCGATGTTGAGTCCTCGAACGATGCAAGACCTTGATTCCTCGCCTCAGGCTGATGGTAAAGTGAATGGACTATTACTAGATGGAGTAGCAGTGTTTTGTTTTACAGATTTTAAATTCGTATGACTTCCTTCTAAGTATTTATTAAGATTTTTCTCTTGTCGTGTTTATTATGACTTCGTTTGAAATAGCATAGAACACCCTGAAATTACGTTGTTTAGGCAAATCAATTTTGAACTCTATTTTGTATACGATAAGACAAATTGTTATTTTTTTTGTGATTTTACCCTTGTCTTCGAAATGGAAGTAAAAATTGACCGATTAAAATTGACTGTAAAAAGTGCTTCAAAGTGTCAGATGCTATTTCAAATGAAGTTGTAAGTGGTTTTGTATATATATTCCAGAGTGCACCGTAGAGTTTACGCATAATGTACCTATTTATTTGTAAACTAATTGTATCACCCCGTTAAGCAGTCACGTTTTCTCAAACGCATAAATCGTCTGAGTATAAATTCTTATGGTTTTAGTTAAAATTTTGTTGTGAATTCGAATAAAAAATGCGAAGGTGTGATCAAAGTAGAGACTGTAAGTAGATCAAAGTATAGCTGGCTGAATTATCGCTTTTCAAAATCGTAACTAAGCTTTACTTAATGCCATTAAAATCTTGAAAACTATAACTTATTTTAGGTGTAGGTTTTGTTTACTTTGGTTTAAAATTATATGTAAAGGATTGTTGTATATAAGAACGAGACCAGCTGGTCACTGCCAAACGATGATTTGTATATAAAAATTTGATGATACAGCTGTTAATGTAGAATTCTGTTTCGTAATTTCTTACATCTGACGAGCGGGAAGCTAATATCAAAAAGCCCTTTAAAGGACTTAGGGGAACTTAAATTTTAGTTAGTATGTATAGTCAGACAAGTAGACATTGTCTATTTATTTAGTAGAAATTCATTTAGGTCATAATTTTTGCTGAAGCGTTGTGTTTGAACGCTAAATACGCGGTAATGGGTCGATTGAAATCGTTTCTTTTAAAAGAAAATCAGTGGTGAGAATATGCCTTAATATTTTCAATTAGTGATGGCCGATTTTTCGGATAATGCTGAGTATTAATCTACTGTTAATTCATTGCGAGGAAAAAATGGATAAATTCTCGGTATTTACTATTTGTCCGAAAAATCGTCTATTTCTATTTTCAATGTGACAGAAAAATGTTAGAAAATCATTTATAAGGAAATGTCTAAAATGAACGCACAGTTACTATATTTTTAGATGCAACTAGTTTAGTAATGTTTGACGTAGCCTCTTAGAAGCACATTTTAGTGAAATATTCAGATTTGATATCATGAGCAATCACGAAAGGAAGGTCTTAATTTAATGAGTGAAATATTTTAAAAGTCCTATCTTTTGGCGTATCGTACTACCGAACAGTCGAGTCGGTAGTAAAAAGTATCACCTGAAAATGTTCTTTTTGTATCGATAAATGGCATTTCCAAAAGAAAATCTACAAAAGATAAAGGAGCTAAAAAATAGGCTACAGCGAAGCAATTTTTGCTTCTTGATCATACATTTTTTTAATATACGAAGTATAAAGTAGTCTTTTGAAATACTTTCCCTCAATAAACAAGATTCTAAGAGGTATCCTATAAAGTGTACTATCTTGAAAGCCAAAAGAGCTACGATATAATATTCCCAGTAATTTATGGCCGTCCTTCGTCTAGTCGGACGAGGTGCCTTTAAGCCTTTAAAATAATTTACTGGCAACCCAAACACCACTAGAGTTAGTACTAAAATTTAGACCAGATTAAAATTACGTTGAGAGTTAGGCCCTTCGCCCACGACGCCGTGTTGTAAGCGTGTCGACGTATAATATAAAACCTTTTTACTCCAAAGGAGATCCTATTAAATATGGGATAAGTCAAGGACATTGAAAAAAAGGCGGATGTAAGGACTTAGTAATGAATGAATGAGTTATGAGTGCGTGTACTTGCAACACCGTAATGTATGAAGTGTGATGACGAGCCATGCCACGCGACAGATGTCCTTCGTCTCAATGTGTGTGTATTCTACGTGTAAGTCAGTAAAGAACATATAGTAGCCAGGTGCCTCAATCGGTGTTTCAAGAGACTATGTCCGCCTTTTCTCAGCGTCCTTGTGATAAGTCTTTTGCTGTACACGTGGCACCGTTTCAGGCATTACGCTAACTAGGGACAGTTTTCAAAAATGTCAATAATACATTGCTCAACTTGGAATTCAACGTCACAATAATAATATCGTAATACATAGAATGAAACAAAACGTTGTTACATGCGACATCTCTTTATTTTGCTATCGTCCAAATGCAATACGCTTACAATACGGCGCTTATAAGAAGTTGTGAGCGAAATAGCTTAGTTTTTCGAATAAGGGACGTCTTGAAGACATGTTTAATCTTTTGAGTCTGGTAAACTACCTACGTAATAATCAACAATTTTCAACAAGTTACCAAAAACACATTATTGGCCCTATATTTGTGTTCCAAGCATTAACTAAGTATTTATTGTAGCTTTAAGATTCTTATTAATTTAAGTGCAATCCATTCTGATATACTACATAAGAAAATGTGTAATTGGATCTTTCCAACAATACTTTTTAAAAATAAATCATCCAATATCCAATTTTCAACTTAGTTACAAAACAATAGAGTTATAAAATCTACGAATTGATGTGACACTGTTTGGAAATGCAATTACGCCTTGTAAATGAATTCAGGAACTTCAATATTTGACAATACAATCAATGTGTATGCTACGATGTAAACTATTTTTAATGTTTATTTATTTTAACGATACATGAATATAATATAATTGTAGATGACGATGGTAGAAGTTTTCCATAGGATTGTAATCAATTTTATTAATACGTTTTGTTCTAACGTACATATGCGGTTATTCTACGAAAATCGAATTAGTGATATGAGTCAAACGTCATTTATGTGTGATATGACGGAGAGAATAGACATCTCAATGTTTTTTTTTCTTGAATGGCAACCGAGTCTCCCATTCATCTCAATGTATGGGGCTTGATTTAAATTTTGACTATGTCAGTCTCAGATCTCAAACCCATACATGGTTATCTATAGTCTCAGTCGACTGACTTTGGCTCATAGAAATGTAATTGTAAACGTATTTGACTTAAGTAATAGAAGATAGGAGCAAATTAATTGCGTTGCTAGAATGTAATCAAAATCGTATGTGTACGTCAGAACTAAAAATGCGGACTTAAGTCCTAGGTAACAATCTAAAATTACCATGGACTGTCAAACTTTTTACTCCAACTAATTAAAACGCTAGAATCCATTTTGATAAAAAAACCGTTACAAGTATTATTAGAAATTCGAAATGAGTGTTGCCACACCAAAAAAATGTTTCGCGAACTTTATTTTTTATACGAAATCAATGACAGGCGATTTAAAATTTCGATTTTTAAAATGAATAATTAATAATATTAAATTAATTATTGTAATCATAATTGTAATTGTATTAAAACGGGTGCATGTAAAATTTTGTAATTAGATACATTTGTATGAATTTGTATGTTTTTTAATAATGAAATATAATCGGGACTTCCTAATGTTTCTTCCTCTGAATGGATGTAAGGTTTATTTTATTCATAGAGTATAAAAGCGTCACAGAGTTGTTGGAAGTGTGTTTGCAGCTTTAGTTTTAAAAAGTTTACTAAGCCCGATTAATATGAGTAGTCAGGCTGTTCGGTATAGACGTCGAACATTTTTGTTATAATGTCTCAGAGCTTACAATCGAGTATGAAGCATATGTTCTGATTTAATATTCATTGCGGTAAAATATTAGTTGAAGGACCGGTCAACCATAGAAATAATAAGTTAGTCGTACTGACTTTTTTCTGCGTCGGCTTTTACTAAAACAATTCCACATCAAACTCAACTCGGAAAAATAAATAAATAACGAATGTCAGTGGTCAACCAGAGTTTGGTAGGCGGCTTTACAGCTGCTTATAACCAATCTCAATACAAGATCTTTGGATTCATAGCAATTTTAGACATTTATTCTGTCAAAAACCCGGATTAATGCAAAGATTATGGTCAAAGTTAGGTCACCCAAAATTAAGAGGATACTGTTGCTTATCTATCGGTGACTGGTTGCAATTATAGGGAAAAATAGCACCCATTTATTTCATCATCATACTCATACCAGCTACTCTAACATAGATCAGCTAATTGGAACGCTAGAATCCATTTAAAATAATGTTACAAGTGTTAGTACTTCTTGAATCTCAAAATGTAGTAAAATACACCTGAAACAGCTCTGTGGCGAATCAATATGTAACTCCGTCAAATGGCACATTATACATAGTCGTATCAATTACCAGCGGTAACACGTTTTCTCTAAATTGTAACGTTGCAGACTTAAGGGCGTATACAGGCGAGAAACACATATAATTTTTGGTAATTTTGGACCTTATGACCTTTCGACGATGTTATTTTCTTATGTCTGCAACGTTATACCATACGTATTTTGTAAATTTCAATCTTCAGTAGTTAATAATTTGTTTGTTGTTCGATCTTCATTACAAATAGTTGATTTAATTTTAATCTTAGACGTGTGATTCCTATTTCGACTAGGTATGAACGTTTTCTCTTTTAATAATAATTATTATTAATTGCTAAATTATAGTCTATTTATTCTATCGCTATGATTTCTAATTTTTATTTATCGTGCGAAGGACTCTGTGACATACCGATAGTGTTGCAAGTAATAAAATGCTATTTTTGTACGTTGTCTATGCACAGAGTCCCGCTTGTCTATGGTACGGCTAAATGTTAACTTAATGTGTAACGTAGAGCTAAATGTTAATTATTTTTAAGTTCTATATCAATGTACTGTATTGTATATAAAGGATGTGGAAAGTATTTACTGAGTTTTATTGAAATCTTATCCAAAACAGATATTTCTAAACTCAACTCGAGAGAAGTCACCAGTTAGTTATTTCTATACATATAACTCGTACCCACGAGATGTCTGAAGAGCCGACAAAACATCCCAGTGACAAGTATCGTTAATTAATCAAAATACTTGTGGAATAAAAAGGAGATAAAAGTAAACGTTGACAACCCTGAGCGGTGACGGCGCGGCGGACCGTTTGAAGTGCCCGCGCGGCTTTTTGTGGCGTGCAGAAGGAACGTGTAGGGCTGTGGCATCCACGCCTGACAGATTGAGATTACACACTGCGCGGTGGATAAAGGTGCACTCTTTATTATTATTTACACACACTGTATATACTCTTTGCGAAGTCGGTACATTGTTTAGCCGTACAAAAGGTATATGCACATTTTTTGCACATACTACTCGTATAATATTGACATGTGGGTGGAGCAGGTAGCTGTTGCAGACAGATGGTTTAGTAAAGTCGTTGCTACTGTTCACGGTTTAAACATATTTTGAGAATTTAACGTTCGTAGCAAGACTTTCCTAAATATATGTCACAAATTACCTACCTCTTATGCAGAGGATCCGGTGTTTAAATCAATCAAACTAACGGATCAGGTGATCACCTGACGGTAAACAATCACCGTCGCCTATGGATACTCGCAAGACCATAGGAGTTGCATGCCTTGCCTGATAGTAGTATAGTAGTGTAATAGGGGGGTGTGCCTGTTGCCATATACCACAATTCAGACTCCGTGCTACTACTGAGAATTTTGTAAAAACCCACTAATACTTTGCCCGACCCGGGAATCGAACCCGAGACCCCTTGCTCGGCAGTCGCACTTGCGACCACTCGGCCAACGAGGCAGTCATCTCATCTCAACTATGTAGCACAATACCTAAATTAGATAGGTACCTAAATTATCTCAAGTTGATGAATCAATCATAAATTATTTATTTGAGAGATAGTTCATATAACCCGATTTAATAATTTATCATTTCCAGGTCAGTAGTCTCATGAGATACCAGGATTCCAGCGCGATAAGGAAGTATTGGTAAACAATGTAGTGTGAACCACGGGTCAATGAGATTTTTATTTTAAACATTCGATCAACATCAACAGCCAATAACAATTAATTAATGGAACGGGGTGGTTTTTAGTCAGTAAGAGTCTGACACTCTGACACTCCGTCCCGTCTCACCCAGGCGGGAGCAGTCATTCAATGACATTCCCCGCGTGGGCGTGGGCGTGCTTTGAAAGAGCCATAAACTTCATGCTTTGTAGTGTTAGATGATTTGGAGATCGTATTTTTTATATGGGATAAGCTGGTAAACGAGCAGACGTATCACCTGATGATGGTAAGCAGTCGGCGTTGCCCATAGACACCCGAAACACCAGGGGCGTTACAAGTTACAAGTGCGTTGCCGGCCTTTTGGGAATTGGGAATTTGAGGATTGCGAGGGATTTGAGTATTCGGGGATTGGGGAGACTGGGGAGGGAAGGGTAATTGGGCCTCCGGTAACCTCACACGCCGCAACAACGCAAGCGTTGTTTCACGTTGATTTTCTGCTCGGCCGTGGATTACTCCGGTCGAGCCGGCCTATTCGTGCCGAAGCATGGCTCTCCTACACTTTAAAAAGGGCTGTGTTTATATTCATTCTACGGCTCTGTTGCTCAATCTCATGTCCCTATTCCCGTAGTCGACTCTTCTCTGCCAGACGGCCACGACAAGAATAAGGATGGGCAGGCCAAACATGGAGACTAAAAACACTCTTCTATACTTACATATAAATGTTGCAGTGAACTGCCACGAAGCTATTGGTGTTAAAATAAAAGCTGTTTCCTAAACAATTACTAAAAGGGGCACTGTAACACAACGTTCGAGTTATACAGTGTATGTCTACGTGAGTCCCCTCATGCTTCATACCATATCGGTCTGTGTCTGTGTACTTACCGAGATTTCTCAACAGTTTGCGAAAAAAAAAACTAATACTGTACATACATTAACTGCGCTGTATCTAAACTAAATGGTTGTATGGAGAGAGTATCGTATGCGTATCGCTTTGATACGTTTTGATTCGTGGAAACGATATTTTCTCTGAAAAGTTGCTGAAACTTGATGTAACTAAACATGCAGTTCATTTACGATGTAAATACGATTTAGTTAAATAAACGTCTTTTTAAGCCTAAAGCAATGAACAGATTTTGATGGTGTTTGACATAATAGGCATCCATACACCCAAATATTCAATTTTAAGTCGCGGGTAAGTATAGTTCTGTTAGTTAGTTAGTTCTACAAATTCTTTGACCGTGATGCCACGATATTGAAGTACTTACAAGTTAAAATTGAGTAGCCTTTCAGAATTCAGGCGTTAGGACTCAAAACTTTTGTTGTTGACGTTCAAAAGTGCCTTCCTGGTCTAATTGAAATAAAAAATGATTTTGAGTTTGAATTTGAGGTAGGTAGCCCAAAGTACTGAACAGATTTTGATGGAGTTGGACATAATAGGCGCCGATAGGTAGTGTCTGTTATAAAAGATCAAAATGTCAAATATCACAACGCTCACAGCATCTAACAAACTCAAAATTTCTAACCACATCTAGTAACAAACAAAGCTACCGACTGAGAGAATCTAACCAACATTCCCTAAGGCTACCTACAACAAAAGGCCCAGTCAAGCTTGCTACGATTTTAGTGTTTCTAAATACCTGAGACGGCCACTGGATTCCTTGTAAGGACCGTCTGTTGCTGCTGGATTCCTGTCGCATTCCCCAACTCCAGACAATACCGTACATCAGGGGTGGTGAACCATTGGCACGCAAGACAATATTTTGGTGACTGAATATCGGCCGGCAGGTAACGCACTTGTGAAGGTAACGTCTGGCTGGAGTTGCGAGTGCACTTACCTACGATTACCTTTTACACAAGATTCTTTATGATATAGGGTACCTAGTGTTTTAACTAATAAACGAGCAGGCGGATCACGTGATGTTGGCATTTGGCGTCATCTATAAACACCCGCATCGGGTTGCAGGTTCGAAGAGCAGGAGTAGGAACGGGGTGGTTTTAGTCAGTAAGAGTCTGACACTGACTCGCCAACCCAAGGCGGAAAAATTCATTGGATGATTTCCATCCTCAAAAATATATATATTAGAGTAGATACACACAAGTTGAGTGCGATACCGGTTGTTTGGGGATTTGGAAATTGTGGGTCCATTAAATTTATGACTTCAAGAAATGTCTTTTAGATAAATAATAGAAAAACGACGTGAAGCAACGCTTGCGTTGTGTTTCGTCGTGTGAGTGAGGTTACTGGAGGCTCAATTACTCACCCCTTCCCCAATCTCCCCAACTCCTGAATCCCCAACGATCGTCAAACTCCTAATCCCCGGTAACGCATTTGTAACGCCTCTGGTGTTCCAGGTGTCCATGGGCGACTCCGATTGCTTACCATCAGGTGATCCGTCTGCTCGTTAACCGGCTTATGCTATAAAAAAAATATTTTCATTCGTAAAGGTTCGTGGTCTCTGTCGTACACATAGCTCGCTACATTCAGCTATGTAGCGCTGTATAAAGCGACATAC